ACTGCCAGGGCACACAGGAACTGGGACTCACCACTCAAACACCCCCGGCTTTCCTGCCCAATTTTGCAGCTGCAGCATCTTCCAAGGCAGAGCAGCGGGCACACCTCAGCGGTCACTCACACCCATCCTGAGCGGCCCCAGAGCAGGGGGATGGACTGGGAACTGGCTGATCCCAGCAGGATGGACTGGGAACTGGCTGATCCCAGTAGGTCCTGAGCACTGGCACAGGGGCAGCTCGGAGCTCTGTCACCCGCGATGTCCCCAGGACTCAGTGTCCCCAGTGCTGTTTAACTCACCCAGGACTGCAGGAGCGCTGGGTGTCTTCCTTCCTTCCCAGAGCTGCTCCCGAGGGCTGTGCTGCCCTTCCACAGGGCTGGAGAGGGTGGACAGATGGACAAAAAACCTGGAACTCAACATGGGAAAGGACAACCCCATGGAGCAGCCCGGGCTGGGGGCACCTGCTGGAGCTCCACRGAGAAGAGCTGGGGGTGCTGGGGGACAAGGAGCTGTCCCTGGGGCAGCAGAGTGTCCTTGGGGCCCTGAAGGGATCCCAAATAGGGGCTGGAGTCTCCTCCTGGGGATATTCCTGAGCCTCTGGACATCCCCTGTGCCCTGGGATGGCCCTGCTGGAGCAGGGAGGTGCCACCAGTGACCCTCGGAGGTCCCTCCCAACCTCGCCCACCATGGGATCAAGCATTTGTCAGACAACAAAATAACCCATAAATCTCATCTTTTAATYGTGCTGAAGAAATCCCAATGATTTTACCAGATTGGACAGAAAATTCTCACGCTAACAAATCTGCAGTGACAATAAGGCACATTAAGAGTGAAAAATAACAATTGTTTCACCTCAGACAGGACAGGGCAAGGGAGAGYCACCACCACGCACAGGATGGACACAGAACTGATGGCAGGACGTGACAGAAAATCAGATTTTCCCTGCAAACATTYGGTCTGTGAGCCCAGGGCTGAGGGAGGGGCTGGTGACACCTCTGTCCCCATGCTGGGCACAGGGAGGTCCCTGCCAGCACAGTGCCACAGCTCCCCCAGCACCCTGAGCTCCCCCACCCACATAGGAGGGGTCTTACACCTTATTTTTATTTATTTTTACTGCACAGACAAGCCACAGCAAAAACCAAGGTGATCTTCTCTGCACACTACAGAGGTCTCCCACATTTGACTCAAATCACACAGAAATTGTGTAAAGTGGTCAGATCTGCTGACCAATGGGATCTATTCCAGTCCTGAGGTCCTGCTTGATTAAAATGATCATCCAACAAACTCCAGGCACAGTTGGCCATTTTGTTTGTTCTGCTAAAGATTATTCATCTAAAACTAAAATTACTCATCTAAAATGATCCTGAATTTTAAATTATTCAAAAAATCATCSCCCAGAACAAACCAAGGCACTAGAGAGGAAGGTCAGGAACACAAGACTAAAGACTCAAAGCATCATGTGCTTGTCAGAAAAAATGAGATTTTACCTCTCCTTAACCATGTTTCAAATATACATAAAATTTACTTCTTTAAATATAAAATCAGACTTAAAAAATTGGACCCAAGTTCACCAAAATGCTTCCTAGCTCCATGTGGAGTCTTTAAATCATTTGGGAGTTGGACTAAGTGCTGTCAGAGCTGGAATTCAAATATTTTAGCAGTAATTCTACCTCAATGGAGATTTGATTCTCCATCCAATGCTGAAATATTTGATGTATTTTCACATCAAAGAATACCATTATGCCTTAGCTGATAGGCTCCCTAGAAGATAAAATACACAGGTACTAATTATCCTATGAACTAAATAGATATATTAAATATTTCCCATTTTACCTAACCAGAGGCCTTACTTTTAGCACCACAATGATCTCAAAAGAAAACGCACGACTAAGAGTTCTTTCCAGTTCAGATAGAACTTGACTGAAATTGTAAAGATCAGGTTGATTTTCACATGAGCAGCTGATCTTATAAAGGCTTACAAAGATGATGATCCATTGTAATTAATTCTTGGGATTTAACGAGGTCATTCCCAGTGCAAAGTCTGCACTGCAGACAGGGCTGCTCTTGTCTGTGCCAGCAGGGAAGTGCAAACCCTTCCAGTGGGGAGAAATACATCAAAATTGGAGTTACACCAATATTAGAGTTACCTCAAAACTGGAGTTACACCAATATTGCAGTCCCCTCAATACTGGAGTTACACCAATATTAGAGTTACCTCAAAATTGGAGTTACACCAATATTGGGGTCACCTCAATACTGGAGTTACACCAATATTGGAGTTACCTCAACTTTGAAGTTATACCAATACTGGAGTCACCTCAACATTGGAGTTACACCAATATTAGAGTCACTTCAAAATTTGATTTCCATCAATGTTGAATCCCACATCACCATCCCACACTCAGCAGAACAAACTCAGCCACACGAAGCCCCTGCATAGCAAGAGCAGCATGTGCAGCACAGCTCCATCAGCTTAGTTACATCCATGAAAAAAAAAAATTAAAATGTGAATTACCTCGAGCATTTAATGACTTTTCCAAAGCAGGTGGGAAAAAGCCAAGCCACGACAGAAGATAATGCCCTGAAACACTTGAAGTTTCACCCTGTTGGACCTAGGACTGAGCCCAGGCTCAGCCAACCTCAGCTCAAAGCTCTGGGCATGGAGTGCCTCAAACCCAGGGTGTTTTCCTGCCTGCAGTTCTCACAAACCCAGGCTGTTTTCCTGCCTGCAGTTCTCACCTCTGCAACCCCTCCAGATTTGAATCTCTCAGCAAAAGGCAGCAGAAGGAAGCAGAGACAAGAGGGTGGCTGTGATTGTTCCCTAAAAGGGAGCACCTTCCATGGCTGCAGCTCTGCTGGGCTGGCTGTGGACTGAGATTGAAATGAGATAAAAATAAATAACCAAAATCCCAGAAATCCCTGATTTCTACACACGTAGCTCACTCAGCACAGAGGCTCCTGCAGAGGACCCTGTGTTGTCACCACTCACTGTGACAAAGGTTCAGGGCTGGATGACACCAAGCCACAGGAGCTCCACAATAAAGACACCTCCAGGGTAATCTAATCTGTGATTCCTGCACAGCACAGRGAGCTCCAAAAACCTTCTGCCAGCCCCAAACAAGGCTGAAGCTCCAGGATGGAGCCCTCACCCAGCAGAGCCCCCAGTTCTTGTTCTCCCAGAGGACTGGTGGGGTTTGGGGCTGTTTTACACTCCCTTTACTGTTCAGGAGCTTTGGCTTTATCAAAAGATCACCAAAACTGAGCAGCAGGTCACAAGGAACACCAGYACACACAAATTCTTGTGTTTACAGTCAATACTCAGTGTCTTGCAGCAAAACACAGAAAGAAGCATCAGGAAGGGGAAGCTGCAGTGGCTTCGAGGAAATCAGCATCACTGAATCACAGGCTGGCAGTGTCAGCAGAAACCCAAAACAAGCCCCCTGTGCCAGAGCAGGGCCTTTGCCTGTTTTGGGGAACACTTTCCATGTCAAAGCACTCAGAGCAGTGAAACACTGACAGCACCCAGCCACAGCAGCAGCACACAGAGAAAACAGAGCCTGACATTCAGCAGGAGTGCTAAAGACATCTCATTTCCATAATGCTCTGTTGTTGYCATTAATGAACGTGCTAATGATCTCTTAATTCTTTGTTTAGACTGATAATTGCTGATCTGGACATGTGGGAATAGAGAAAACTGATTTACATCACCTTCCAGTCTGGCCTGGGGTTCTGAAGGGCACCTGGGAGGAACATCCCTGCTCCAGACAGATAAATAACCCAAACCCAACTGTTCTGAGGGTCCCTCTTCCCATTTATTTACAAATTCAGGGGATGAGGGAAGGCACAGAGAGCAAGGAGTATGGCAGATTTCCCAAAAAAATAAATCTGGCACCTGTTTTTCACTGCTCATTTAAAACAGCAGAAGAGCTGCTTTATACATATTTATATATACATATATATAAACCCTAATTTCCAGGACAGGAATATCAACAAAGCATAAATGGATATATTCAGCTGCTGCATCCATCACACAGCAGCAAAATATATCTTTATATATATATATATATATATATATATATATATATATACACATTTATATATATATACTTATAAATATATATATATATGGGATTCCTTTATAAAACAGATTCTTTAGAGCAAAAGTTTCCAATCAGTGATCCCCAATTCCTAAAGATAAAATTGGATTGCTTTAAAGAGTCCACACACAAATGCAAGCAAAATGTGCTTCCTGCCAGCAGGCTCAAATCAGATTCATGTCACTGATAAAAAATTATTCCAGGCCTAAAAGAAAAAGGGCTGAAGCCCACTGTTCTAAGGAATTCCAGCCATAATAAGCTCTAATCTTCAGTTAATTCCCAAGAACTCCCTATTGCACTGAACTCCCTGGCAAATGGCATTTATTTCAGTTGCCTTTTAACCAGGCCAGTGTGCATTAATACAGACTTATTAATGCYATGACCCCTGGATGGTACTTTCAATAAGAACATTAAAAGTATTTCTTTTGGTTGCATGGCTGCTTTTGCTGTTGTATTTTAAGAGGTTTTTTTTTGTGTTTTGAAATGGAATTTGGAGGCTGCACAAACAGCACTGAGGGCAAATGCAACATGCCCCAGGTAAACATAAATCACTGCAGTAAGGCTCTTACCTATAATCTAATTTAATTGCCTGAAAAATCATTTTGTGACTGCTTTATTGTGCTTTTATGTAAATAAATGCCCAGGAGGCACAAAAACACATCCAGGAGCTGTGGGAAGCATGTCCTTCTTGGTGTTAACATTTCTATTCCTCCCTTCCTGCCACAGGTAGGAGTGGATTGGCAAAATCAATTTTTAACAAATAAAGGTTTYGAATTTGGCTACACAAACCTGTGCACAGTCACAGGTGAGAAAAAAATCTCCACCTGGGTACCACAGGAAGAATATGAGAGAGAGAAAAAAAGGAAAGAATCACCCGGGGCAGTTTTTACTTGACTTCTGTCCTGCTGAGCTGCCCTGAATTCTCCTGGCCAGCTGCTGCTTCCTCCTYTCCCTGTGTCCTGCCCATGCCTCAGGGCAGAGGAGTGAAAAAGAGCAGTTGCGGGGAGGCAGCAATATGTACAATAATAAAAATAACATTTGCAACAACCACCTGCTGGCATTTTTCATCAGCGCTTCTCCGCCCTGCAGCAAAACAGGAGTTAAAAATCAGTGTTTCAAAACTGCTTCGAGGCTTTTGCTGGAAGTTCCAGAGATTCTTTCTGATCATGTGAACAAATTGTGCTGCAAAGGGACTCCCCCAGGCCATGGCACTGCCATCCATGTGGGGATAAACCTTCCCAGCTCCGAGTGGGAGCTCGACAGAAAACAGCGCTGGTTAAAAATTAAAACACAGCTCCCATCCTGCCCTCCCCACACAGGAACTAACCCTGCTCACTGCTTTTTACAGCTCAGACCAAACCTCTTTGGCAATGCCAATTCAGTGATTACAATTCCCAAACTGCACCAAGGATCCTCAGCCCAGAATGAAAATGTTCATGCAGAGGTTACGGCAGCACAGGAAAAATTCAGAATTTGGGATTCATCTCCTTGCATAAACAAACCTCAAGGCTGAGGCAGAATAATATTTGTGGGGTTTGAATAATGCAGACACACAGAGGGTTCTCTTTCCTCAGCAGTGCCAGTTCTAGGACATGGAATGTGAGGTTCTCCTTTCCAATATGTGCCACAGCCACTCCCCACCTCCCCCAGCACTTCTATGCTGCTCTGGTGTCCTAAAAAATGTAATAATTTCGGTTAACATATAAAGGACTCATCTTGCTGCTGCCTCATCCTTCTTTGAGCATCCCARAATGAAGTGATCCATGACATTCAGCTTTCACAGAAAGAAGAGAGTAGTTACTGCTCCTTGATCAGAAAAAAAACCCAACAAAACAGTCAAAACATCTATTCAGTAAACATTTCACAGCTCATATTGAATTTTAGGCCTTTTTCGATTCCTGACTCCTTATTTTTGAATTATTAAGGATGAGAATATTGTCTGTACACAGCACCTTTCCCTTTTAAAAGCTGTGAAGCACCTGCAATTCAGAYTGTAAACTCCTCTGGGAGGAAAGCACCCTCTTGCAGGGATGTGTGCTATGTAGAGCCAGTATTCAGGAAAAACTGTTAATCTCCCAATTCTGCCTTCACAGCTGTATTCTACTGCAGAGAGCAGAAAACCTCTTCCTACCTTTGTATTTCAGCAAGAGGAACAGGCACTCTTCACTTCCACATAATTTAAAATCAAAGTGAAAAGTTCTATTTATACTGACTTGGCGAAAGAAAGTTCAGCACAGAATTTTCCTGGCTCCTTTTCCAATGGTCTGTGCATAAAGTCCAGGACACAGCAAAGGGTTTATAGCCAATAAATCCTGCATTCGTGCACAAAGTCTGTGTGACACCGGCACATCTGGACAGATGTTGGATAAAGTCTGTGACATGGACACATCTGGACAGATGCTGGATAATCTATTTGTCCTTTTTCACTTTAGTGCCTGTGATTCTGTCTGCCTGGCATAAAAAACTGCCGAGAAAGGACTGGTTTTGGTTAAAATTAAAGAACTGGGTATTTTCCACAACTTATGTTCACAGTTCTGAAGAGCTCCTAAACATTAGGAAAACAACTAACCATAAGCATGAATCAGACTTCTAAAGAGTCATCTCTGGGRAAAAAAAAAATCACTAAAATCAAGCTGGAGAGGCACAATTTCCATAGGCACGGGCATGTAAAGGCCTGTGGAGAMATAAGGTGACCAYGGCCCTGTGGCYTGGCTGAACTGGGAGGCAGTGCCAAAGCCTCTGGAGGTGAGAGGTGCCTGGTCAGAAGATATTCATTAAGATATTTTCYTGCATGCTTAGATTTGATTTGTTTACCCATCTCAAGTTCAGGGAGGTTGCAAAATCAAACTCTGCCCAGTAAAGACCAGGGCAAACAGTCCCTGGCAGCCATTCCTTGGCAAACACAAGGGTGTGGTGAGGGGAAAGCAGTGCCAGAGTGAGGGGTGAGAAATGAGCTGGACAGGATGTCCACACTGCYCCAAAATCCCACCCCATCCACARGGACAGGGCTGAAATGAAGCAGCTWAAGAGTGGAATTGAAACACAGAAAGCTCCAGAGAGAAGGGACATGAGATGAACAACACTATGCAAATTGAGATTTCCAGACTGGCCACGATCAGTGCCCTCACTCAGTACCTYCCCTGCAATCAGTACAGCTGGCAGGTGAATGCAGGGCACACYGAGGGCTGGCACAGTTAGCTGAGCACACACACATCGATTGCACACACATTTACACATTTCCCAGGTTTTGCTCCAGCCTCTCTTCCCAATTTAGTTCTTGGAAGTGCCGTGGCCCTGCGTGCCCAGGGCAAAGTCCACGGCCTGGTGCACACTGTGGAAGAGCAGGTGGTCCTCCCCTTCTTGGAAGAAGTCCCCTCGCAGCAGGGAGCTCCTGACRGAAGGGTTGCACTGGGCCAGCAGCACGTGCACGTCGATGTCCCYGTAGTCCTTGCAGACCTCCTTGAGCGTGCGGATCCCGGCCGTGTCCAGGAACTGCACGGCGCAGCAGTCGATCACKATGGTGTGAAACCCCACGGCTCCCGACCCCAAATCCACGGGGGTGCTGCTGCTCTGCTTGTCCCCAGACCCCACCTCCTTCTCCCTGAGCATCCTTTTCTCTGCCTTCCTCTTGGCTGCCTTCACCCCCACRGGGTTGACCCCCGTTTGCTTGTAGAGGGTGGATTTGAAGCATTCCTTGTTGATGTAGTAGAGGGGGGCTTCGAAGCGAAACACCACAACTCCAGGYTTGGTTTGCAGGTTCTTGTAGGCAGACATGGACTCGTAGGTCTCCGACTCGGCCACCCAGCCCAGCAGCGGCGCCTCCGGCCGCTGGGTCCGGAAGATCACGCAGAGCATGGAGAAGCAAACCCCCACCAAGAGCCCGATCTCGGTGCTGATGAGCGCCGTGGCCGCCATGGTGACCCCCCAGATGACCGTGTCCACCCTGCTCAGGTGCCACATCTTGGGCAGGTCCCTGAACTTGCGCAGGGCTCCGCGGAGGTTGACGATGGTGATGACGGCGAGGACGCATTTCTGCAGGGAGTAAAACAAAGGTGCGATCACAAGGAGGACCAAGAGGATGACCAAACTGGTGACCATGCCRGACACCTGGGTGCTACAGCCCGTGGACTCCTTGACCAGGGTCTTGGCCAGAGCGGCGCTGGTTGTGAAGCAGTGGAAGAAGGAGGGGATGATGTTGCAGAAGCCGATGGCGTACATCTCCTGGTTGGCCCTCACGGTGTATCCGTGCTTCTTGGCAAACATCTCCGACAGGGACACGGTGATGGCAAAGCCGATGATGGCAATGGGGATGGCATCCAGAGCCACGTTGGGAACCAGGCTCCAGTCTGGAGGGCGTGGTGGCAGAAACCCGGTGGGGATGTGCCCAGAAACGCTGGAGCCGTAGGTCTCCCTCAGCTTCCCRAAGTGAGACGCCAGAGTGGCAGCCACAACCACGACGAGTTCCATGGGGATTGGAGCYTTGAGCTTGGATTTGAAGCGCTCGTTAAGCTCCTTGGTTGGGATGAGCACCAGGAAGCACARGAAGCTGGTGATGAGGTCGCAGAGGTTGGTCCTGTGGATGTTCCTGAAGATGTTTATCCAGGTGGTGACCAGGGAGCCGACGCCCCCGCTCCGAGGGATGTCCAGCCCCAGCAGGTATTTGACCTGTGAGGTGAGGACGGTGAAGGAGGCGCCCGTGACAAACCCACTCAGCAGCGAATCCGACAGGTACACGGAGACAAAGCCCACCTGGAAGAATCCCATGGCCACCTGGAAGGAATCAACCACACAAACACATCAGGACACAAATTCTGCGGATTTTGTCAGCTGGGATAAAAATCCAGCATTGTGCACTGCCCTGGAGGACAAGGCATGGTCTGAGCATGGAGAAAGAACTCTCCAGCTTTCAAACCAGGCTTTTTGGGGGTCTYCAACCCCTCAACAAATGTTTATTGTTTGCTCTGCTAATTACCCTGGYGGGGAAAAAAGAAAGCCTGGGGAAAAAAATCCAACAAATCCACATTTGAAATRCTGTCTRCTTTTGCCATTTCTCYCTTTCAGTTTCTATAAACTCYGTGAACTTGGCAAGGATCTAAAATGTCTCTCATGGCCTTTGTCTGTGTTACACTGTAGTTCAGAGCCTGCAATAAAACCRCAGCTTGGGTGTAACAACTGTCCTTTGCACTGCATGAAGATGGGTGTCTCTGACTCAGAAAGTTTATGAGCTGCAAACTCCTCTGCTGCAGATCATAAAACCAGAGATAACTGGGAACCCCAGGAGAATCTCAAAGTATTCCTGAAGAGAAGGCAGGTTTGGCACCTGGGCTGGCTGAAATTAGCTCAGAGCCCTAAAAAAGGCTCCCTGACAGCCTTGAGAATTAATTCAATCTTTTTCTAAGTGTAAAACATTAACAATAATTAGCTTGCCTAGTTATGCTGTAGCAACTGGTGAGAGCCAATTTGCTTTTTATGATTTGATTGTAAAGTTTCTGATACAAGGAACATGGGATTTTTGGTTCAAAAAAAAAACAATTTGAGGGTGTGAAGATCTATTGGTTGACCTGTAGAGAATTTGCCTTACATTCACAGAAGATAAAATAATCTGATTTCTTCATATAAAGAAACTTCATATTCTTTGCTAGTACAATTAAGTGCATTTCACAACTYCAAAACTGCATCCATCCCACAGTGACAAAAYCCAAAATCCAGTGTAGCTTGGGAGGCCCAGAATATTTCWGAAATAACTCAACATGAACCTGCAGTACACAAAGTTCCAGGTCRTRTCTAAAAMCTGTGGTTTAGAATACCACAAGCCTGGACAGATGGGAACAAATGAATGTGAACTCACAAACTCAAATACCACAACTCTGCTGAGAACAATCCCATTCTGGTTAATGCATAACACTCCTRAAACAAGGACACCTGCTTTAATYTGGGCAAGCAGTGAATTCTAGAGAATAAGCAGAGATCTATAAATACAAAATATATTTTATCTTTTCAGTAGTATCCTTTCCATCCAATGGCATTGTTTTGGCTTTAAGTGGGCAAACAGCAAATTTTTAAAAGCACAGTTAAAAATAAACTGGAGATACTTTAACTGTCCAAATTTTTCTTTTTGTGAAAAGGCAAATGATTGAAGACTGGAATTAGGAGCTCATGCACCACTTTCTGCCCCAGTGAAATGGGGTCTAATGCAAAAAAAATAGAGAGCTTTAGGCCCCAGCAAGGAAAGGTGGTGAGAGCTTGAGAGCTGGATGGGCATGTCCTTAGAGTCCCCAAAAGAGAAGCAATGCARGCAGGAAAAGCTGTTAAAAAATGGAGAGCACTCCCTGAAAGAGAAGCAAAGCAAGCAGGAAATGCTGTTAAAAACCAGGGAGCGCCCAGAGGAGTTTCCTGCAGCAGTGACCTCCAGCCCTGAGGTGCAGAATGGGGACATGTGAAAAGTCCAGCAGGACAGGGACAGTTCCCCAAGCAGGAATGACATCCATTTGCCCAGAACACCAGTCTGTGTGTTCTGGGCAGCTGAACATAGCTGYCCTCACCTGGTAAACCCCAGAGATGAAGGTCATGGTGGCAGCCACGGCCATGGCGTAGCAGCTTTTGTCACAGAGTGGCTCTGGCACCGTCCCATTGCTGGTGCTGGTGACGTTGGCATCCCCTGCCAGGTCAGACAGGGCACTGAGCACGGCTGGCTCCAGGTCATAGCCAGCCCTGTCCACCTCCCGATCCACCACCTGGCCCACCATCAGGCAAACCACGCCAAAGATGCCGACAGAGATGTGGCGGGAGGTGCCGAAGATGCAGTAAATGAGGCTGGAAAAAAAGGACGTGTAAAGGCCATAAATGGGCTCCAGCCCAGCCAACAGGGAGTAGGCAATGGACTGAGGGACCAGCAGGACCCCMACGATCACACCAGACATTACATCCCCCAGGAGATACTCCCTGAGTTTGTATTTAGGAAGCCACTGTAAGATGGGGAAAAAGCCCAAAACRCAGTCTTTAATTTTGGCTGGGCTGCAGCTGCAAGTTTTCTTTGCTTGCTTCACCAGCAGGGCCTTCATGCTCCTCTTCTCCTCTTGGGGCTCCAGGAACATTCTGTGATGGAAACTGCACTTGGCATCATCTCCTTCTGGCCCTTCTGTCACTGCATGGATGTTGTTGGTCTCTGCCATGGCTGCCATCACAAGGACTCACTAAAAACACAAGGAAAAGCCATTAAACCAAAAAATGAATGTACAGTGTGAGACTTGAGCCCAGCGTTTATGAAATCCAAGGGCTGAAAGTCTCAGCTCAGCAAAGAGAAAGTGATTTCTGAGCAAGCTGGAAACTGTACCCCTGTAAGGCAGGGAATGAGCTTTCCCCTGGGGAATACACATGCTGCTGCCAGAGCTGGGGAATGGAAAGGAATGCAGCAGCACTGCAATTCTGGGAGGCTTCCTAGGGAAAATCTATCTTTACCTGCACAGCCAGACAGAGAGTTTATTGTAGCACCGCAGCCATTCCAGTTCAGCTGCTGAAAATTCACGGCGAGTGGGACATTTCCAGCAAAGTACAGCTTGGGCTGTATCTCCTGTGGGTTGATTTTTTTTTTTTTCTTTTTTAATGCAGCAATTGCAGCTGCCAAATACTGTAAAGGTTTGTTACCTAAGAAGTGGCTTTTTTACAGTCCAGTGACCCAGTGCAAAGAAATGTGCTTCACGCTTTTGAAAAGCTGGTTTTTCAAGGAAATCAAGCCTGATCAAAACAATGTACACAAGGGGAAAACATGTTCACAGGCAATGAAATGTAGGTGGGACATTTCTGCTGGAACTTGTGCTCTAGTCCTGGCTGCTCACAGACAGTAAAACAGGGAGATTACACCAATAATTTAACACTGGAAACATGCTGCCTGACTGGGAAAGAGCAAAGTCTTGATGGGAYGAGCCCCAATAAAACTTGAGCACACCAAATGACTGCCAGCACTTACACAGCACTTTCACTTTCAGAGAACATCCAGGATCCTGCATTAAACTCTTTCACCCTCAATACCTGCTACTACCAGTACAGTGAGGCTGTTTCAGCCAGAAACCCACAGGTGTGGGGCTGCAGTGGACTCAGGGTGGACACAGCAGGAGAACCCTGAGAAGTGTCACTGCCAGATTTTTGGTTCTGCAGTCCCAGAGTGCCAATGACAACCTGGATTTTATGTGCTGCTCACGTCTGCTCTGTGCAGTGCAAACCTCGGCCAACCTGCTGTCCAAGTAATGTTCACCACCAAATTAATTACCCAATTAATTGTCCAATTGTCCTGAATTAATGGTACCAATTAATAAAGAGCTRCTGGAACTGGCAGTGCTGAGCATGCCACTCCAGAGTCTGCCTCAGGATGTGTTCACCTAATCCCCATTTCACCASCAGCTACAGAATCCCAGAGCTGTGGAGTCATTCAGGTTGGAAAATCCCTCTGAGATCATCCAGTCCAAYYATTCCCARCAGTGCCAAGGCCACCACTAACCCATGTCCCCAAGTGCCATATCTACAAGTTGTAAATCCCTCCAGGGATTGTGACTCCTGCACTTCCCYGGGCAGCTGTGCCAGGGCTGGACAACCCTTTTGGTGAYGGAATMTTTCACAATTAAAACATTCATGTCAGTGTGAGTCTCTCAAAAACATGAGAAGGGAGGAGTGAGAGGAGTAAGTTTGTGTGGTAGCCATGATCACAGAACAGCCTGAGCAAAAGAATCCACATGAGAGCAGAAGCAGTGACAGAACTTAACTTTTAGGACGGCTTCTTCAGAGACTTCTAGAACCAATTAGCAARTGATTCCACCCAATTAATCCAACTGTCCCACTGTGTCCTTAACCCTGGAGCTGCAGAGCTATCTGAAGTCAACACCTGGCAGATGCTGACAGAAAATAYCAGGGAGGAGTTTGAATTTTATCTCCTGCTCCATGCTGGGACTCCTAAAGGTATTTCCATTCACCACAGCCCAGATATGGAGTGTCTGTTTGGTGGGTGAGCTCCTGCAGCCTCCCAAATAACCAAACCAGCCATTCTGTGACATCTGTCCCTGAACTGGCACTGAAAGGAGTGTCTGAACAGACCCCAAACCATGGACTGCCCAATGGCACCCCCAGGGATGGATTTTCTGTGTCACCCCTCCCTGCTGGGACATCCCAGGATCCCTGGGGCTGGAAAAACCCTCCAGGATCATCAGATCCAAGCAGTGCCCGATCCCCACCTTGTCCCCAGCCCAGAGCACTGAGTGCCACCTCCAGGGCCACATGAAAAATGAGAACCTTTAAACAAAGAAACTGCACTGCAAGAAGCGCCAAGCTCGAGATGACAGTGATCACACTCAGAGGAGACCCCTACCCCTTTCCCATTTCACCCACCTGTACAGGACTGCAAAGTGTGCTCAGGGAGGATTTACAGCACTCCCAACCCCCCTAAACGCTGCACAGTGAGAATGAAGTGAATATTACAAAAACCTGTGTCAGCTCTACTCTTCAAGAGCACATTTTGGAGCTGTATTTGCTCAAGAAGTTTTATTTGTTTTACCAGCACAGAGTTACAAATCAAAAGGCTTCTCACCCACCCAAAGCTCAGCAAATCAACACTGTAAAAGCTGAGGGAAAAAAAMCTCAACCCAGAGTACTTTTTCTGTGTAGCAAATTATTTGGATGAGTTTGTTTCGTGAGATTTCAGTAGTGAAAATCCTTCTGATTCCTCCTGTCCCTCACCCAGGACTTGCAGGCAGCTCCCTCAAACTTGGGAATTTTCTCAATGCGCCAAGACAAACCCCAGACAGCTCAGTTTAGTGCTGCTGTAAAATATCTGCACGGGAGGGGATGCCTGGGTTTCAGTCGTGTCCAGACAGTAGGGAAATGTTCTAAGTAAAAACCTTTTTGGCTCCAGAACTCTGAGCATATACTGAGGCTTTGTGCTGACTTGCATGACAGCTTTCTCTCCGTGGCATGAAAAGGACCTTTCATCACAGTCCCTGCCTCTCGCCCTGTCAGGATAGTAGGAAATGACACAATTTCCAACACCCATTTCACTCTTTTCTGCCTCAAAGTGCTGCCCTGTATTAATTTTGTAACCGTTAGCCCAGGGTTGTCTAATAAAACTAGATTTTGTACTTAAACATTAAAAGCCAACCCCGAGAAAACCCCCTTTGGTTCAGTGGGTTGGACACTGAAGGACACTCTGTGTATTTAACTTGGAAAAGGAGCTGCTGTGGTTTWTATTCTGAAAGCTGCTATTTACACACAACCTGGAATTCACTTTTAACACTTCTTTTAGCCTTTCAGGGGGTGCCTCTTAGCCACAAACTTCGCTAAAGAAAAAAAAAACTATGAGACAGAACTGAGGAAATTTCCACTATCAGTTATCAACTGACTGTCATAAAATAAAGATATGGGGAGGCCCTGCAGTCTGCACAMGTCATCAGATCTCCAGACTATTTCTGGAGCCCATCTGGGCCTTCCTCTCTGATCCCATGATGGGGCAGCATCTGCCTGGCTTCTGTTTTTGGGGGAGCACTACCTACAGCCCAGGGCTGGCTTGGACTTCATTCCTCTGTCGCAGATCAGAGTCACCTTGAGAGTAAGAAAAATGGATTGTGAAGCTCACTCACCTGCTGAAATAACAGACTACAAATTGAAACTTTAGATGTGAGCATTTCAGGGTAGAAACTAAATCAAAAGTATTCTTCCTGTAAGAACCCTTTCAGTTTTCCTTATTTTTCCATATTGAAATTGTCACTGTGCATGATCACTCCACACACTAATGTACCCCTTGCTAGAAAAAAGAAGTTTCATGCATTTTAAATCAAATGTATAAAAACAATCTAAAAAGGCACAAAGAGTTTCTGGAGAATTGTAAAGGAGAAAAGGGTGAATCAGAAATCCAAGTTCCACACACTGAACCAGAGTTGGGCCCTTAGAAAATGCCCCCCCAAAGAATATAAAAGGAAAGCATATCACAGCATTTTGACAACTAAATCTTTGACCTTACTCTTGTTGGACAACAGCCTTTTTCAAATAATGTCTTTACTGTTGTGGAGCAACAAGGAAATTCAATATTACCCTGATAACACACAGATAAGCACTGGAACAACACTGCCTGCACCTTGGAGTTTGACAAAATCCTTCATATCCTCCAACAAAACATTCAAGCCATGGACATTTATTTCAACRAAGGACTGAAAATAACGTGAATAATGAAAACCAGCTTTAAGGAACACATTTGGGGACAGAGCTGCCTCACTTTTGGCACAGTAACCAGCAGCCATCCCCTCATGCAGGAAAACCTGCAAAGCCAGATAATAAAACCTCGCTTGTGTGAAATACGGGATCTCCTCCTACTCCAAATGTCACGTCCTCCCAAGCAGCAGCAGCCTCCAGTGTTTTGGGGCAAGATCCCATGGAAGATCCCTGCTGGAAGCCAGATATTCCAGGGAAGTTGCTTCATCTGTGAAGAGCAGCTGAGTGAGTTGGCTGCTCTGCCCTGCCCTGGCTGAAGCAGATCCCTCTGCAGACCCCGCCAGCAGTTTCCATCCCACCCGGATTTCTTACGGAGAGTTTGCCAAGAGTTTCTTTCATGCTATTCCTAGGATAGGGCCTTTCTGCGACCCGTGCTGTGAGCAGGGAAAGGTGGAACACCGAGGAGCTGTGTTGGGCAGTGAGGATGGGCTGAAGAAGAGCTGCCAGCTCAGCCCAGGGCATCCTACACTGCCCACCACGGCCCGAGCTGCATCCGCAGGGCTGGGAGAGACCGTCCGATCCCAYTGGAAACCCGCCGGGATTGTGCGGGAYAGCGCAAYTGCGCTGGTTGCTGAGTTRCGTCTAATTAATAAAAATTAATARAATTATTAAAAACCTGTAGGAAGAAGAAGCAGCGGGAAGAGCTCCACACGCTGTGTGCCTCCTGAAACTGCGGGGGTTTGCTGAGMGCTTTGGAAGCCAACCCAACACTGACATCCCGGGGACAGCGAAAGGGAACCGAGAGCACCATTTCAGCTTTTAACGCAACATTCACKTTCACCCCCGGGGTCTCACTGCCTTCTTACCCAGCTTCCTTATGGCTTCCAAGCGCCACTTTCCTCTCCTCCCGCTGGTTCCTGGGAGCCGCTCCCGGGGGTGCGAGCAGCAGCCGAGGAGGATCCGAGGAGGATCCGTGCCSGACCCCGCTGCCCCCCGAGCCCTGCCCGCCCCTTCCCTCGGCACTCACCGCCCGCGGCTCGGCGGGGTCCTGGGGCGGCTGGGACAGACGGACAGACGGACAGACAGACATTTATAGACGGACAGAAGGACAGACGGACCGCCCGCCCGCCCGCGGCGGGTCCCGGCAGCACCGCCCCGCTCCGGGCAGGCAGGGCCGGGCACAGCCGCGCCCCTTCCACCCCCCGGCCCGGGTCACTTCCGAATCATTCCACGTGTACGGAGTTGGGGGGGAGTATGGGAAAGGCGGCTCCTGGTTCTTTACTTTTGYACTCAAACCTTTTACATTGAAGGCATAGGGTTGATAATCTGAGATAAAGTGAGATTAAACTTTGTGCGGATAGAGAACCGTAACACTTTCTGACCCTTTTTTGCTCTGGGATACCACTTCAATTTATAAAATCTTTTCAAGTCCTTCACTGTTGTTTGCTCCKATGAAGGATCCTTGGCAATCTGGGTATTAAAAATCCCGGGTTTRTGTTCAGTGCTCTGCTCTTATCTGTGGGCTGGAGGTTCAAGGTCRGAGGGGCCATGTCCAGCCTCGTCTGCCTTCCCAACCCCTTTGCACAGAAGAGCAGACGTTTCATGTGAAGTCAAACATTGCCTAATATTTGCATTCCAGGTGGAACCCTGAGCTGTCGAAAAAATCCCATCAATACGGAGCTGGAGCAAATGAAGCACTTCAAGCCGGCACAATTCATGCTCTTGTCTTTCAGGGTTAAGCAAATGCTATAAATCTTACTGTAGAAATACTGAATATTTCCATAGAAAACATTTCCCTTCTCCATGAGGGTTTATTAGATGTCATGGTAACCAGAACAGGCAATTGGAATGGAAATTGAAGAGCTCCCTCCCTCTCCCCTGACTGTCCRTTGTCAAAAGCATCAGTGACTGACTTCCCAATCCCTTTAGGGACTTCCACAGGAGTTTTAATTGAGTTTGAAGTATATGGTGACTCCAAGACAACCACAGCAAATCCTGAGAGGAGTGACATCTGTGACAAAAGCATTCAAACCCTTTTTTGTAGGGACTCTGCAGAATCCTAATAAGAAATCACAAACCTGAGCAATGGGTGTTCCAGCATTTTCATTGTTCTAGAAGCACAGGCTGTGGAAAAACTTGAATCATCTGATACATCATGTCTTCGTGGAAGAAACAAGGAAATATCTCTTTGGAAYATGACATGAAAAGAAACACAATCCCAAGCATTAATATTTTTCAGGACCCCCCAAAAAAATTAGCTTTTTTTTCTCTCTTTTACACTGATTTTCTAAAAGATGGGTGGAAAAAATCCAAGCAATTATTTAAGATAATGWAATAATTTCACTTCCAACTGCTTTCCTCTTCTCAAGGTATATTAAGCTTTATAATTAATGTATTTCTGTGCTGAGGGMATCTTTGGCCTTGAAGAAATGTGCCTCTGGGCTCCTCATGCTCCAGCATCTCCTGCCAAGGAGCTGGGGCCTGCTGACACACAAATGCCAGCRTGTGCCATCTGCCCATCCCACTCAGCCTGCCTGGCGAACCCACTGCTTCTCCACATCACCCCATCATCCTTGGAATATTGAATCTCCACAGAACACTGAGCCAGTGCAAAATCATCTTGGAAAATGTTTTGTTCCACTGAACAGGTACTCCTGGGCAGTCTTGCGAGCCCTCCCTCCTTGCCATGGTCCCACCTGGGGAATTGCTCTGCAGGCTGCCTGTGATGGTGTTATCAGCCCTCTGTCCATAAATCCCACATGCAGTGGTTCTCCCTGGTTCTTCCCAATCTTTCCCAGGCTTCCAGCTCAGCGTTATCATTCAGCAAATAACGACAGCCTGTGATTTCCCCCGTCTCAGCTGCTTTGTGCCACCTGGCTCTCGGCCTTGTGTAAGGAGCTTCCTGCCTCCCATCCTGTCCTCCTGGCACCTCCCTGCCCAGTGCCCTGGTCCTGCTGCTACAGCTGCATGGGAGGAAGGGTGGGYTATGCTGGAAGTGGCTAAAAATGGGTTATTTTCTTTCCTTGCCCTTCAGTCTCTCTACAACTCGCAACGMACTGAGGTTCAGGCCTGAATTTGCACAATGTTCTATTAAGTCTGGACATGGAGAAGATGGAGCTGCCCGATTCCCATCTGTGAATTCTATTTGTGTGTCAGAGCTGGGACAAACCTTCCTGCCCAGGCAGGYACCTGATCACCCTGACCTGCTGCACCTGGAAAGCCGGAACTAATGTCAYACAGAGGTCTGCGTGTGGCAGGTCTGACTTATTGAGGAAACCCATCAGACTGAGTAACACAAAAAGGCCCATCCTAATGCTTGAAATGCATTTAATTTAATGCAGTCACATCATTCAGTGCTTGGCAAAACCAAACAAGAGCTAAAATGAGCTACTTTAAAGGCTTCCATCAAGGATGAGACAAATGCCAAGTGCAAATTGAGTGGTTGGAGGGGAGAGGGTGTAATGAAAAAGGAAAAATGCAATTTATCAGAGATCTTAGGTAATCAAAAGACTTAAGCCATAAAAGAAATAAGCTCTGTCCATATTCAAGACTATGAAGCTCTGYCCATATTCAGGACTATGCATGTCASAATCATATGGCTATCAAGAAAGAGCTCTGCACAAACATCTGTGTAGAACTGCTACACTCTCGGTGCGTGGCATGGTCCAGTATTGGCACCTAGAGTCAAAAACAAATTGGGTGATCACATTTTCAGTGTTGATGTGTGTTAGAAGGCTTAGCTAAATAATTGCTGTACTCAAGTGTGTTACTCYGCTTTCACCCAGGCTTTCAGGTCTTTGCTCCCACAAGGCTAAGACATGGAATATTAAAACACGGCTCAAATTCCAAGGAGTCTCTGCGAACAAGCAAATATATGGGGGAATCAAACGGCACCATCAACTTAGTATCTAACTCAGAAATCCCACCTTCCTAGATACTCATTTTTATCCAAAAACTTGGTGAGCCTGGCAGAAGGATTACAAATCCCACGTTTGAGTGAGGGTTGCTGTCTGCAGGGATTTGCAGCACTGGAGGAACTGTCTGCAGCAGCAGYACTGACCTGCACTGGCTGCTCACAGCTCCTTCAGCTGGCAGACACAGAGAAGCCCAGGTAAGCAAAGTGCTGCAGGACAGGCTCATTTCCTTTGCCTCATCTGAGTGGCTGAGAGCAGCTGCCCTCCGTGCCTCGCTGGCTTCGAGCAGGAAGGAATATTAGCAAAGTCACCTTGAGCAAGTGCTGAGCTCCCAAAATTTGGCTACACACTTTCTGTTATGCTGACAATTGATGGGTGCAGCAGAGCCAGGGCTGAGCACACAGCACAGCTTGGAGAGTCCATTTAAAGCAGGAAGAGAGATGTTATTCTAAAGCTGAGATAGGTTTATGTGTTTATTTTTAATCCCTGAAATCAGGTACATGTGATYATCACAAATTACAGAAAAGCATTGTAGCCACAGGTTCTGTAAAAGCAGAGAACTTTAGCCTTGATTCCTTGCGAGTCCACTCAAAAAATGCGCTCAACAACTAAATGCTGGTGATTCTATGAAATCCTCCAGCCTTGCTTACATAGATCTAGAGCCATTTATTTGGTATTCAACCACACAGTGACAAGTACAAATGCATAATTAGACCTATGAAATTATACAATCCAGTTTGCAAGGCAGCAGCAGTTGGAGGTTTTATTCTTTTCATGTTAATTCTTAGCACTTAAAAAACCTCATATGTTACAGAATTTATTTGAATCCAAGGTAGGAGGGGAGGTCAAAACACTTGGAAGGTTCTCATTATTAAGGTAATCCCCGATAATACTTAACATTTTCTTTCCATCTCAGTTCTGATATCTGTTTTTCACTTWTCATTTACATCTGCTGCAGCATTTGGATTTGTCTGGGAATCCTTTCAGGTACTGGGTTTGCTCCAGCTCCTGCTCAATTGGTGGGAACCCCTCCGTGGTCTTTCCTTGCTACAGGCTCAGAGATTTCCTGAGTGCTGAAGCAAACCCAGTGTCTCTTTCAGGCTGAAGAGAAGTGATTCCCCTGGTGAGTTCCCAGAGTTTTCTGCCCAGTGCAGATTTCAAGAGCTGTGCCTCGAGGCTGCGCACTCTGGCAAAGACAGGAGATAGATGCAACAAAATGCTGATCACATTTTTAGGTGAGAGATTTTCTCTGCAAGACTCACAGCCCCAAGCCAGAGTCCTAAGAAATAAGTGGTTTTTTTGAACACTTACATTTTGAAGATGTATCAGTAGCTGAAGCCTTACTGTAAAAGAAAGCGTTGAATGTTAGAGCCTTGTAAAACACAAATCACAYCTTGTGAATAGCAAAACAAGCGATGTGAATAGATCTGACTCCCTTCTTTTGAGATGAAGGACAGCCTTTGAGACTCTGCTTAGGTTCCTTGAAACTGAGGCAGAAAAGTGCAGGACACACAGTCCTTAACTGAACAACTGCTGGAGAAATTTGCAGGAAACATTCTGCAATAAAGAAAAGGATTTACCTGATCTGCTCCAGTTGGTCAGAGAGTCGATCTAAAAAGAAACAGAAAAAAAAAAGAGAAGAATGGTTAACAAAGCTGCCAATGAATTCAAATTTAGGACATGGTACCATCCCCACAGATCTCATAGTCAGAGATAAACTAGAAGGGGATGGGGCTGGGCAAATGGAGAGGATGTTTCTTGACAGTGGCACTGAGCACACAGAATTTGAGAAGCTGATGGGAGCAGGAAACCACATCAGACACAGGAGGAACTCACGTAGGAGCAGACCCCTTTCCTGTTATCCACAGAAACCTGCCCCCTTCCCCTTCCCTGTCTACCACTCCCAAGACCTCACATCAGCCCCTCACGCTCCGGTGGAAGGAGATGTCACCAGCCAGGATTGTGGTCCCCATTTCTCATGGTGTCAGCAGGGCTGGGTTGGGGCCGCTCACCTTCCGCATCGTCCAGCACAGATTTCAGCACCCACATTAAGTCCTCTCCCAGGTAATCGATGGTGATAGCCCTGCTCGGATCCAGCTGCCCTTTCTCCATGTCCACACTCTCAGTGCTCAGATCCAGACTTGCAATTCTAGGGCACAGAGAATCATTTCAYCAAGCAAAACCATCCAGCATCCAAAACTAACAGAATTCTTCACTAGGACTGAGTCTGCAAAGAGAAGAGGGCTGTGGCAACATGAATGATTGGGTTAAGAGCCCTTTGGGAAGGTTGAGTTCCAAACGTTACACATTGTTATTTATTTGGCAGTGCYTTTTGCTTACCAACCTGCACAGGAACTTTCAAATGCTGAGAATGAGAGAAGAGGAGGTGTTTTGATAATGTGTGAACAGGGCCTTGACTTGCTGCAGGCAGGCTCTTACTGCTGTAGCAGTGACAGAACAAGAATGCCAAGCATATTAAATGGCGTCCAGGTTTCTGGAAAATTACCTTGATCCCACAGGCTAGAATGTGACTTGAGGCACAGCTGTGAGTAACAGATTGTGCAGCAGCTCTGAGGTACATGGTGATTCCAAGTTATCCTTACAATCCAAGTTTGAACTCAGCTGAAGGAGGATCACTAATGTGCATCCAAGAGAGTGCTACTCTAAACACAACCCGTGGGCTTCATCTATGATAAAAAACAGTTTCCTGGTAATAAAAGCCAGTGGTTTTCATCAGAATCCAGCAAGGAAACCCAAAATTCAAAGGGAYCAGTGGAACAGCAGATAAGGATCTCTCCATCCCTGTTAATTGTGTGGATGTGGTGCCCTCTGGCTCAGCTGGAACAGGGAGCAGCTTTGCAGCAGCTTTTCAACATGGCATAGTGGGACACAGGGGCACAGGCTGTGCGGTTTAACCCCAGTCATCAATACCCCCTTTTTTCAAAGAAGAAAAAAAATGTTATCAAGTGAAACATACCTGTCTGAGACCAGTTTCAATTCCTTCAAATTGGAAAAAAAAAGAGAAAAAAAAAGAGAAAAAAAAAGAAATTATTAGTGTGACTTTTAGAAAGGGCAGGTGGCTGAGAAATAGGCAAACCCGTGAAGAAATGCAAAATACCACTGCTTACTTTGAAGAAGAGGAAAATATCTGGTTGCTCTTTTATCTTCTGCAAAGCTTGAAGATCCTGCTCAGCCTGGTCCCTCTTCTGTTCCATTTCCTTCCTTGCTTCAGCAATGCTTGCCAGGTCCCTTGCCTTATTACACTGCAAGACACGCAGCATCTTCTTCTCTTCATGATTTAAAGACTCAATGATCTTTGTCTTCATATTTTTAAACACTTCTTGTAGCTGAGAAGTCAGTGTTTTGTTTGTGGTCTAAATGAAGAGATAAGAAAAAGGGGCACTGGCTCAGGAACTCCACCCTTCAACTTAGTGCCTCTGCTTATCAATTAGGTTTGTATCTATCCTTTGCACTGGCTTTAGAAGGAAGCAGACAATAAACGTTTGCTTAGAATGTCTGATTCAACAGATGCTTTTGAAAATTAATCCTGATACAATAACAAAATCTGATGAATTGCAGCTACCAGTGTGAGAACTTACTGGTACATGCTGAAAATCCCACTTGTAGATAGAAATTGTTTTCCTTTTTTAAACAGGTAGAAAACCTTTAAAATACATAATCATATGTACAATCTATGGTCTGTCAGTCCTGCAACCTGGTCTGTGCAACCACAATAAAGGGTGGAATCCCCCAGCTGGCTCCTGCCGTGGAGAAGCTGGAAGGCTGGGATAAAGCTTGGCTTCTGGCAGTTTCTTAAACCTCTCTTAACCCCTTTCTCTTAATCTGCTTCTAATGGTATAGTTACCATCCCTCATTACTGGAAAACTGTGAAGGAAAAATGCTCTGAATTGGCAATAATCTGGGTACCAACCTTGACCTGMCACTCATTCTTCTGAAGCTGTTTTAGGACGGTAAGTACATCACTTTTATAATTCTGCAGCTCTGTTGTGATGTTGGAGAGTTTTTCCTGGTAGAAGGAAAGAGAGCATTGAAGTTCACAGCAGAAACAACTTCAAACCAGCCTGACAGTTTGTGGAGCTGGTGAAATGGCCACTGTCTCACACATCCCACTTCTGCTCTACAGCCCTGAAATTGTGATTTGTAACTTGGGGGATGAGGTTTGTCTGAAATTCATGTCACTGTGATGCTTCTGATAATTCCTGAGGAGGCTGTAACCTGTCCTGAGGTCCAGAGTGAGCYATTGCCTGCCCATGCACTGGGTTCCTGCACAGTTTTTGCTTGGACTCTAAACTGAGCCCAGAAATTTCAAATGCAAGGCAGTGAGTGAGCACAGGAAATGCATTTTATCCCCTCAGTCTCAGCTGATTCTGGAGCTGACAGCAGCTGGACTCAGAGGCACGAACATGGAGGCCCCATATCTCTTTTATCTGCTGGAACACTGGCTCCACAAAATTTGTGGCAGAGGGAGGAATCCCAAAACCACTGAGGCTGGAAAAGCCCTCCAAAAGTACTGAGCCCAACCTGTGCCAAATCCCCACCTTGCCACCCAGCCCTGAGCACCATGTTCAGTCCTTCCTTGGACACCTCCAGGGATGGGGACTCCAGCAGCCCCTGGAGCAGCTCCATCCAAGGTTTAACAACCCTCTCAGCGAACAAATTCCTCCTGATGTCCAACTTGAACCTGTCCTGTCCCCTCATCCTGTCGCTGGTTACAGGGCACAGCCTGATCCCCACCACGCTACAACACGGAGGGAACCCAAGGGAATGAACTCGAGAGGAAAAACCCCTGCTCTCCACCCGAAATTCGGCAAGAGCGGCATCCCCGGGGCTCTGGAAGAAGGGATTTCCTAATCTCTGCAGGAATAGTTCTCAATCCCGGCCAGAACAGCCCAGTGAGGGCGGCTGGCACTSCCGGGGCCGCACCTCAGGACAGCGAGACCTCCGCTGGCTCTGCCACGTTCCCAACCCTGAGGGACTGACCCASCCTTGTCCCGGCCAGCCCCAAACACCTCTCTCTGCTCTTCTCCATCTGCTTGGCTGTCCACACTGCTCTGGCAACGCAAAGGRGGAAATGAAGAGCMAATTCCAGCACAAGGCACCAGTGCCTTGCTGGGGCGGACAAGAAATTCCCAGAGCCGGGGCCGGGCTGCCCTCACACCCATCTCCATTCCCTGTGAAAGCTCCACCGCCCTTCCCGCGGCTTTCCCCCTTCTCACGGCCAGGGCAGGGACCATGGGGAGGAAAGAGCTCCTTACCAGCTGCTGSTCCCGTTCTTCCTTCATGGTGATCACCTCGTGGTGCTTGTGGGCCCCGGCGATGGAGCAGAGCACGCAGATGCACTGCTCCTCTWGCCGGCAGTAGCATTCCAGCAGCTTGCCGTGCTCCGGACACCTCCTCTCCGCCTCTCCGCCGGCTCCCACATCCACCAGTATGTGATCTTGCTGGAAACCCTTKGAGTTGTGTTTGCTGAGGTGGGCCTGGCACARGGACACCTCGCACACCAGACAGGTKACCACGGCCGGCTGGGGTCGATCCAGGCAGTACTCACACAGAACCGCATCCACATTCCACTCCTCGGAGCCCTCGTCCTGTYGGCTTTTGGAAGCGGTGGTCTGAAATGCCTTCACGATGCTGGCCAGCTGGAAATTCTTCTGCAGCTTCAGGGTGGACCCCAGGCGGACCCTGCACACGGGGCAGGTGTAGGGGCCCTGCAMGTCCTCGATGCACCGCCGGCAGAAGTTGTGACCGCACCTCAGGGACACCGGGTCCTGGTACAGGGACAGGCAGATGGGGCAGGTGAGCTCGGCTTCCAGGCTGCCAGGACTTTCACGTCCCTCCCGAGCTTCCGCCATGGCTGCAGTCACGGCGCCTCAGCGAGCACAGAGAAACGAAACTAAAACGAGCGGCAGGAAACCCAGCCCTGAGGCTGCGAGTCCCTCCCTTCCGAGTCCTTCTCTTGCGAGTCCCTCCCCTCCAAGTCCCTCCCCTCCAAATTCTTCCCCTCCAAGTCCTTCCTCCGCCCCACGCCGGGCACAGAAATGTTCCCTGTCCCGGCCCCATCCTTCCCTGCACTGACAGCCCCTTCCCCTCAGTCTTCAGCCGGGAGCAGGGAAAACTGGCGAGGGCATGAGATGAGACCATTCTTTTAGAGCCCGGAAAAATTCTCCTGTCCACGCCAGGGGCAGCAAATTAAAGATGAATGCTGGATGGGAAGAGTGTGAGCCAAGAATTCCCTCTGCCGTGCCTCCAGCTCCACAGCCACAAATGCTCCCTAGAGGTAAAATAAGAACCCAGAGGAATGTTTTCCTGGGACTTGAGGGAGGTCTACCTGCAAGCGGCTGACAGGAAAGCAGGGGTTGCTAAAAGCTCTCAGAAATAGGAATGCCCCTGTGTGATCTCATGAGCCTTGCCTCCCTCACTTGGTGCCTGCACCACCTGAGATCGGCCACTGCAGGGCCTTTCGGGAGGCCTGACTCTACCCGCATGTTTTTTCCCTATCATTTTGGTGTATCAAACGTAAAAAAACCCACCACAGCTACTCTCTTCCAAGACTCAACACGAATTTCTTTTAGATATGCAAACTCGTGGTATCCCTCAAGGTCCTCTTCATGCAAATACCCTGATTCAGTCCAAAGGCAGCAGAACCACAGGCAGCAAGCAGGAATATCATCCCTTCCTCCCTGTTTGGACAACTATTAGAATTTACTAATCCAGGCTCCATATGGCACACACTAAAAGCACAGGAGTTTTCCTCATTACTACTCCTTTGCYGTGAGATTTTTCCATAGGTGAGAACGTAAAAACTGAGGCAAGAACAAGGTAAGTGATCAGAACTCACAGGGGATGTGGCAGCAGCAGAGAGCAAGGGAAGGCAGGTTTCACTGCCCAGTCTCTCCTCTCTCCTCCCAGGGCAGCTTTTCTTCTGCACCAATGTGCAGGATGGAAAGCTGYTGCCTTAGATCAAAGACCAGCATTGCTGCTGCCTAGCTGTGTAGCAGTTAATGTTGTGCTGTCAACTTTTAGATAAAAAAAAAAATTGCCATTGAGTTTTGCAAGCTAACAATGTGACTTTAATAACATGAAGCCAACGTGGTATTTGATACAACTGAGCGAAAATGAACAATTTAATGGTATTTCCATTATGATTAACAGAACAAATAAAAGAGGAGCTCTTACAATAAGAGACAGGGTGCTGTGATATATCCCCTGTCCCAGCAGCCCACAATCGAATTACTGATTTGCCAGCTYAGAACAACCTCCGTGCAAGGCTCATAATTCCCAGGCCTGAAAACTCAAAATAACACTTTGTCCCCACGTCATTACAGGAGCTTCAACATGCTGATGGCAGCTTGGATGGGATACTTCAAAAGGATGGTTCCTGTYTCTAAAAGCCTGAAATTCTTCTTAGCAGGATCTCCAGTCTTGATAGACACATCATTTACCAGTGAGAGCGTTGCTTTGGYTGTTGACGTCTTCGGCCTAGGAACACACAGAGGTAATTGTGAGGCATCTGCAGGCAGCATTCAAAGCAGGAACAAACAATTCCAAGCTCCCATCAGCTCTGGCTGCCCTGAGTGTCTGGGATGGCACCGTGCATATTGTAGTCTTGTCCTGGTTTGGGCTGGGATGGAATTCATTCTCTTCTCAACAGCTGGCACAGTTTTGGATTCAGTAGAGAATAATGTTGAGAACACACTGATGGTTTGGCTGCTGCTGAGCAGTGCTTACCCTGAGCCAAGGATCTTTCAGTGCCTCATGCTCTGCCAGTGAGGAAGTGCACAAAAAGCTGGGAAGGAGCRTAGCTGGGGCAGGTGACACAAATTRGCCAAARGGATATTCCACACAATAGAGCACATGACCAGAAGAAGCTGATTGCTGCTCGGAAACAGTGGCTGGATGTCACAGAGCAGGTGATGGGGSTGCAATTGTTCTGTGCATCACTTGTTTTGGTTGGGTTATCTCTCTCTCTTCCCTCCTTTCAATGATTGTTACCGTTGTGATTGCTACTGAATTTGTATTTTGTTAGGCAAATTTACCAAATGAACTAGGAGAAGATCCAAATAAATTAGGAGAAGATCCAAATGAACTAGAAGAAGATCCAAAGGAAAATCCACCGCTAACATTTTGATATGGGCCAGAAGCTAAAGAGAAAAAACACATTATGATTAACAGACAATTGTGGAGATTTGAGGTTAGATTCTGTCCTGTGCTGAAGCACCATCCTGAGAGCAGACCCAGGGAAYCCTGACTTAATCAATTCAGTCAGACCCATTCAAGTGTCCCATTGTGCATGGCTCTGGCACTGTAGGCTGAGTTTACAAAGTATTGCAAAAGGGTAAAAGTATTTACATCTTAAGYGAACTCCACCCTGCTGCTGTTGTGATGAGTTTTCAACTTGCCCCTTGAAGCAAAGGCATGCCACAGTGGTGTTGCTATTATCTTCTCTTAATCCTCCCAGAAAAATCCTGGGACTTCCAAGCCTCTTTATCCATAGCCTACTTTAACAAAGTGTATTCAAGACACGCCCCAAAACCCTGAATCCCAGGAAAAGCTCCCTTTTCTGCACACACAGGTGAAAACAAACATACAGTGTAAAGAATTACCACTTCTAGAGGTACTCAGTGTACTTAGTGTCTCATTATAGTCCTTTCTTAAAGATTTATTGTTTAATTGACTTCTCCATCTTGCTTTTGACATAGTGAAATGAGCACTTACCACTAGCTGTGCTGGAAAACGAAAATGGTGAAAAGAAAGTGGGTGGTGTCTGTGAAGTTGATGGTGGCGGCCTGGGTGGTGTCTGTGAAGTTGATGGTGGCGGCYTTGGCTGAAAGCAGGACATCATGATTGGGAGGAATTGCTGGAAGTGCTTCAGAACAGCATCTGTTGTTGATTTATCCAAAGTAATGGGTGGCTTTGAAACCATCACACCATCCATTCGAGGAAGTGGCTTGTGTGGCCTAAAACATGCAGAAAGAATCACAGAACCATGGAATCTGTGAGGATGGAAAAGACCTCCAAGGCCATCGACTCCAACCTCTGCTTGACCTCCACCTTGTCCCTGGCCCAGAGTACTGAGTGCCATGTTGAGGCCTTTCTTGGACATCTCCAGGGATGGGCACTCCAAACCTCCCTGGGCAGCCCCTGCCAATCCTGAGCACCCTTTCCATGGGGAAATTCCTGCTGCTGTCCCCCCTGCCCCTCCCCAGCCCAGCCTGAGGCCGTTCCCTCTCCTCCTGTCCCTGTTCCCTGGAGCAGAGCCCGACCCCCCCGGCTGCCCCCTCCCGTCAGGGAGTTGTGCAGAGCCACAAGGTCCCCCCTGATCCCCCTTTGCTCCAGGCTGAGCCCCTTTCCCAGCTCCCTCAGCCGCTCCTTTGGCTCCAGACCCTTCCCCAGCTCCGTTCCCTTCCCTGGGCACGCTCCAGCCCCTCCATGTCCATCTAAGGGTCCAGAACTGGACAGAGCACTCAGGGTACGAACCCAGCAGTGCCAGCACAAGGGGACAATCACTGCCCTGTTCCTGCTGGCTGCACTGGTGCTGAGACAGCCCAGGAACCATTGGCCTTCTTGCCCACTGGGCTCATGTTCAGCCGATGCTGACCAGCATTCCCAGGTCCTTTCCCRCCAGGCAGCTTTCCGGTCACTGCTCCCCCAGCCTGGAACTGCATGAGACCGTTGTGACCCCAGTGCAGGATCTGGCACTTTGCCTTACTGAACCTCACACTGCTGGCCTTGGCCCATGGATCCAGCCTGTCCTGATCCCTCTGCAGAGCTTYCTGCCCCTCCAGCAGATCCGCACTCCTGCCTTAGTCTTGTCTGTGAACTTACTGCGAGTGCACTCGATCCCCTCATCCAGATCATCAATAAAGATATTAAACCTCAGTAAAAGCTTACCTGGCTTTAATTGCTGCAAAAGCCTGTAAAGACATTTTGAAAGCAGAATTAGCATAATGCAGGCACAGCCAGCCCTGGAGCTGTGTGTCTCTGTGAAGGGAGATGCTGACAGGTACCTTGGTGAAAAGAAGAGTGTCCTTCTGAYTTCTCAGAGCCTCCARCTCCTGAACATCACAGCTGACTGAATCCTTCTCCTTTTTGTGATCCTTCCTCTCTAGCTCAATCCGCTGAAGTTCTTGCTCCTTGTGGTCACTGAGAATTTTCTGGAGTTCTCTTTTTTTGTTCTCTAGCTGCCGGTACATCTCTCTGAACAGGTTCTCCAGCTGTTCTCTCTGCAAACTTTCCTCACTCTATTAAGAAAACAATTTCAAAACTGTAAGGGACATTTTCCACATGAGCTCTCACTTAGAAAAAAAATCTGTTTTTTTTTTTCTGGGATGAGAGAAGTAATTAAGAGTTGAAGGTTGGGAAAACAAAAAAGCCACACACCAGCCACTCACAAAGAGACACAGAATTTTAAGTTTAACTATGAATGTACCTCCCCAATGGATAAGAAACTTGTGCATTACCCTTTCTCAAAGCAAAAAACTCAAAAATACATGAGAAACCACCCAGGAATTAAAAAAACTTCAGAATCCACCATCTGCGGAAGGGCAAAAGAAAACTTTTTTTCATCTGTTACCAGCATGCAACCATTCCCAAAGTGGTATGGAACCTTGAAACAAACCTTTAGTCCCTCCTCTTGTTTCAGCAGGTTTGCTAGGACTTGATTCAGTGCATCTTCATGGTTTTTCAGTGTTTCCAGAGTGCCAGGAAAAGATTTCTAGAAATATAACCAGAGGGAGATACCAGGATAGGACTGGCATAATGCACGAGAGCAGCAGTTTTATAGACATGGCTTAAGCTAGACTTGCAGAAGGTTTGCTCGTTGCATGCTCTCAGGACAAATCAGCAGATAACCGTTTACTGGAAGGTTTTACCCCTGAACAAATGCCACAATTACAAACCCAAAAAAAAAGAAAATTTGAAGTTGAAAACTGTTTATGCGCAATAGGCACATATAAAGGTGTTTCCCCTGTTTGCATGTTTATTGCTGCTATTCYGTTATTCATTAATTTCCTTTGCATAAACGCAGCTCAGGGTCATTGCTGGCTCAGAAGTSCACCTGATGCCTTATCAATCAGGCTGATCTGAAAYASAGGCCAGACAAATTTAAGAGAATGAGAATAGACAACTTTAATCCAGGCCTAACAGGCCTACYGGTACATTAGGGCAGACARATTACACCCAAAATGGACCCCGAGTCACGAGATCTTCCCCTTTTATAAGTTCTGCCTTATTCACATATTGGGTCTTAATTCTCCAATGATCTTTTCAGGTGATGATGTCACCCACCCCAAACTCACTCCCCCCTAAATCGCTGTTTCCATATTTTGGGGCTCTGAGGTGTCCTTGGATTCAGGCTCAGAGAGGGATTGTTTTGTCTAAAGATGAGAGAACAGTAATTTTTAGTGCTGTACTAGAGAAGTACAAGAATACAGATGCATGAAAATACAGAAACTAAAAATCCTAAGGCATCACACCAAGGACTAAAGCTGCAGCCATGAGCACTCAATCCCAGCAGTTTGGCCAAACTCTTCCCTCAGGATGGGAAAAAAGCATTTATAACATCTTGTTTTATACCTCAAGGGCCAAACGCAGAGAGAATCCRGGACAAAATTAAGAACAGAAGCCCGGGATTGCAATTTAGCCCCATGCTGGCTCTGCAGTTCTGAACCTCGGGCGTTGTTCCAGCTCTGTAGCACGGGCAGCTCTCGGCAGCACAGACCCCCGGGGTTTTCCTGGTGCAATCCATGCCCGTCCCGGCAGCCTCTTACCTGAGCTTCGTCAAAAGCCTCCTCCAAATCGATGATCCTGTGGTCCTTGTGGGAGAGGACGGAGCACAGCATGCAGATGCACTCCCMGTCGTTCTCACAGAAGCACTCCAGCAGTTTGTTGTGCTTGGGGCACCTCCTCTCAGCCAAAACCTGAGCATCGCAGGGCTCCACCAACACGTGGTTCTTCTGGGCGCTCTTACTGTTGTGCTTGCTCAGGTGGGCTTGGCACAAGGAGGCTTCGCAGCTCAGGCACGTCTTCACTGCTGGCTGGGGCTCCTGGAGGCAGGAATCACACAGGATCACCTCCTCTTGCTGGCCCGAGCCTTCCCCCTTCTCCTCGCATTGCGCTTCCTGCTCTTCCTCCTCCTGGGGGGCAGGAGCCTCCATAAACTTCTGCACGATGTTGCGGAGGTGGAAGTTGGGCAGCAGCTCCCCGATGGAGGAATGGCAGAGCGGGCAATGGGGCGAGTCCGGCTGGCACCGCAGCGCCTGCTTGATGCACTCCCTGCAGAAGCTGTGGCTGCAGTTCAGGCACATGGGCTCCCGGTAAATGTCCAGGCAGATGGGACATGTCAGCTCTTCCTTCAGCCCGGCCATAGCCTTTGCCTGGGCCATGGCTGCAGCTCCGGGCAGGGCCCAGRGCAGGGGGAGGGCTCTGCTAGGAAKCAAAACAAAACTCTGACCCGTGGGCGAAAAGCTGCTGCCTCCTCCCCCTCGCAAGGGAGGGTCATGCCTTTCCTCYCTCCAGCTTCCTGCTTCTCAGGGCCACGTGGGCAAGGGCTGTGGCTGCCTCAGTATTGAGAAAAAAAATTATAACAAGTCGTGTTTGAGGCTTGTGAAGTCCTTTCGCTTTACCCGATGGTGCTTTGTCCGGTTGCAAGTGGTTATCTCACTTAAATACTGAGTGCCTGAGCAATGCTGATAAGAAGGAATATCCTGGCCACACCACATCCCAGGGATGCATTCAAAGAGAAAAAAAAGTTTTTGGAGGCCTGTGACCAAAAAATAATAATTTGAGGAATGGGATATTCCCCAAACAACCCCCTGAGACCCTCACAAGAACCCTACTCCAATGGAAAAGAAGCTCCAAGAAGTGATTTAAATATGCAAAAAAAAAAATAAAAAAAAAAAATCAGGGAATGTTGAGCATATAAGTATTAGTTTTGGGAAATGTAGTGAATATGTAAAAATTACATTGTTTTAAACTGGTCTGTTAGCAAGCTGTGGCGTGTGTAATAGAGAGTTACCCCCACATGCCTGGAGATGATGTAAACAATAGTAAATTCTAATACTGGAATTACAKTGTTAGAGTTTAATTCCCATTTTCAGTAACGACAAGACAAACTCCACGCAGCAGCTGGAGGCTGAGATATTTGACACTTCAAGGGGAGCATGGCAGAAGGTCCAGCCCTGCTTTCATGGGGCTGCAGAGATCAGGAAATGGAGCAGGAAGGAAAGCTGGGAAGAAACCTTGTGGGCAGGGAGATTGGCACAGCTGGACCAGCAGGCAGAGAGCAAAGGAACCAAACCTGTTCCTGTCTGCAAAGACACCAGGATGRACCTGGACAAGAACCTGATAAATGCTCAGTGGGCATTGCATGTGTCACAGGGAGCCCCCGGACACACCTGGGTGACACAGAGCTGATGTCCCTGCCAGGGAGCTTCTGTGCCAGCACAGCCTGGGGTGGGGCTGCGTGTCGGATGCCACTGCTCAGGGCACAGGTGGGAGCTGGAACTCTAAAAAGGAGTTAGAATTCCAAAAAGCARCCCAGGGCACCTCACGAGGCAGTGAAACGAAGTTCAAGCAGTGGGCATTCCACAGGATGAGGAGCAGGGGCCTGGGGTGTGCCACCCACACTGCCTGCTGCCCACCCTGCCWGCTTCCAGTCAGCCAGGGGAAGGGACCAAAGCTGTCCCTGGTCACAAAAGCTCCTGATTCCCTGCCCACAAGGCACACTGTGCCCAGCCCAGGAGATAAATTACACAGCCTCCCTCCCCTCCAGCAGCCACATGAGCTACGCCAAAAACAGYGCCTGTCTGTGGGAAAAGGAGCTGTTTTATCACAAAGTTGTGCCAAAATAAAAACAGTCCAGCTGGGATTTTTTCCAAATGATYGTTGGAAGTAATTGCTGGGACTAACAGAGCTGCTGAACTGATGTCAACATTCATCTAGGTCTGCTTGCAGGAATTATCCTCAATAAACAATTGTATTCAATAAACGTATCAGTGCTTTGTTTTCCAGGAGGCTGCCTGGGAATGAAGCATGGGGAGGCACAGAGCAGGTGGGAGGACAAACCTCAGCTCTGGGTCTGTCCCTCCCTGCAGACCTTTCCTTCGTGTGCCCCTCTCCCCGCTGGGAACCCACTCGTGGGCACCCTGACACTACTGCCCCAGCTGCATCCCCACATTTTCCCCCTCCAAGTTCACATTTTCATCTGTCCTGGCACTGTTGGCATCTCAGAAAAACATTCCTTTGGTGGCCTTGGCGCCTGCTGGTTTTGGAAAGCAGCAGGAATTGGGCTTCCCATTAGCTCCACACTCAGGGTGCAGCAGTGGCCGGGATGAGGGGCTGGATTTGGGATGAGGGGCTGGGTTTGGGATGAGGGGCCAGGTTTGGGATGAGGGGCCGGGTTTGGGGTGGGAGGCAGGGTTTGGGGTGAGAGGCAGGGTTTGGGGTGGGAGGCTGGGTTTGGGATGAGGGGCTGGGTTTGGGGTGGAAGGCTGGTCCCAGCTCTGGAGCTGGGCTGGGGGCTCCCACAGATGTGCTGGAGACAGGCAGGTGCAGAGCTGCTGCCTCAGTCAGTGCAAATCAGCAAAACCCAGCAGCTGGCCCAGCTCAGCACCTCGCARAGCTGCTCCTTTCGGGCTGCTGGCATCCTCCAGCCCAGCAGCATCGCTGCTCCATGCTCTGCACTAATCAGTGCAGCCTCACAGCTCCCTGGCTGGCATGGGGCTCCTGTGTGCTCGGGGGAGCTGTGCCCATGCTGGGCCAGCCCAGGCCTTCCAAATGTCCCTTCCACAGCCTGGACTGCCATGGGGACCAGGGCACCAGGACATCAGGACAGCAGAGGACACCAGGACACCAGAGGACACCAGGACACACTGTGCTGTGACACCACAACCGTGCCCCTGGGAGAAGTCTGGCTCCCAGACCCTGCTCTCCTGTTTCCAGGGGCTCTCCAGGTGCTGCATCACCGCCTGGAGTCTCTTCCACAGCTTTTCTTGCTCTCTTACTCCCACTGCAGAAAAYGTGAGGAGCATGCCCTGCTTCATTTTTAACCCACTCCATTCTTCTGCGAGGGGTCCTGTGGCAGCGGCACCACTCGAAGATCAGAGTGCAGGTTTTTCCTGTGTGAGTTAAACTGGAAGAAGCCACGCTTAAAAAAGCAACATCCAGGGATGTTCCCGGGCAGGAGCTGCATCCTTGGCAGCTGGGAGGCTCTGCCACCCCCTTGGTCCTGGCACAGCCCCACTGCCAGGCAGGCAGGAAAGCAAGAGTAATTCACCTCATCCCCGAGCAGACTTGCACTACAAACAAAAGTACAGCACCACAAACTTGTTCCTCTTTTTGTTCTTTCCACTTTATAGTATATATGTTATCGTTTATTTATAGGCAGATCACTTCACTATTTACAGTACATGAGCGTAGAGATTCTACAGTCTTTTTGATGTAAACAAGAAACTCCACGGCAGGGGAGTCTGGAAAAAGAAGCCAGTTCTGAAGTATTTACACAATTTAAAATAGAACTTTTATACCCACTGGATAGATATAGAGAATACATTGAGCGATTTGGTTAAATTATCTATGAAACTATAGAATCTGACAATGTAAAAATACAAGAAAACGTTCTCTCATTTTAGAAGGTAGACAGTTAAATCACACTAGAAATAAATCTCTTTTTTTTCTTAAAAATAATAACAATAATAATARAGGAAAGGCATAAGAATCCATGCCATCTCTTAAGGTTAAAGTATATTACATAAATAAGGACACAACAGAACGGAACTGGGGGAAAAATTAAGTGAAATATAAAAAAACCTCTACCAATAAAAAAAAAAAACCATACTAAAAACTTGATTCTTAATCATAGAAGGATCAATTCTGCCACTTTTACTTACTCTGCAAGTAGAAAACTGCAGAGTTAAGTAGTACTTACTCAGCATGAGCAAAGGAGGCAGAATTGGCCCCTAATAATTATGAGCAGTGTCCTTTTACTTAAAAAAAAAAAAGGAAAACACAGAATTTAGCTTTTCTTTTATAAATAACAAAGCAGATGTGCCCCTTTTTAGGTGAAATTCTTACACCTTTCTCAAGAAATGCATCAATTGAACCGTTCTCTCTCTTTCTCACATGCACTCACACACTCCCTCCCCAACTCCTGCTGCTGCCCCTGGCCCCGGGGAGGGCGAGGGAAGAGGAATGAAACCTCAAAATGAMCCCCCAAGGCTGCATTTGGCTCTATATTGCTTGAGATTGTCAGCAATGGACTTAGAACAGAAAGGGTGTCGGGTTCAGCTCCAACACTGATGGATCTCAGGACTCAGCAGACCTCCAGAAAGAAAAAAAATCCCGGAAAAAAAAAGGAAACTGTGTTGACCTGCAATTGCAAAGCTCATTTGCATGGCCCAGAGCAGAGATCAGACACTCAGGACTGTAACATGGTGACGGAGCTGTTCCTTCCACATTCCTGAAGGATGTGCAGCCCAGGGAGCTGCACCGAGGAGTCGGGAGAAACCTTGGCTTTGGGGCAGCACCCAACCTAAACCCTGGGATTGTCCTCTGCATTCAGCCCACACACTCAGAAACGCTCGCTCCTCCCTGCGGAGCCTCAGGGACATGCTGGATTCCAGCCAGAAACCCGGTGCCCCCCCTGAACAAYGAGTTTTTCTGGGGCAAACCTGTGCAAAACAAGCAAAGGGGCATTTTATCAGAAACTCTTCACATTCAGCATTTCCCCACAGCACCTGCAGGAAACGGCTGGGGGCCGTTCTAGACTGACRGAGTTTTACAAAAATAAATCTCCTCCTGACTTAYTGCCTGCCAGAATAAACCCTTTTGCTCCCAGTTTCTCCTGCCCATCCCACAGCCCTGGCCCTCGCAGGGGRCTGGGGTGTGAGGGGTCCCTTTTTGGGGAGCACCCACAGGCTGGGTGGGATGTGAAGGCAATCCTTGGAAAAGGGGGGGATCCCCAGTCCCTGGCAGCTCCTGCAAAGCTTTGGGTACCCCTGGCATCCCTGACAGCGGTGCCTGGGCATTGCTTTGCCCCTGCCCCATTTCCCTGCCAGCATCCAAACCACTCACTCCTGCTAAGGAGGGAGCTCTCACCTGCCCCTGTGCCCAACCCACCTTCCTGCACACTAGAGCACTGTGAGCTAAAGACACCTTTAGAGTGAAAAAACCCCACCAAAACGAAAAGAAAAACAAACAAAAAAAGTGGAAATTTATTTTTCACCCAGTCCTAAAAGGTGGGGAAGCCCCCAGGGCAGGCAGCACACAGTCCTGAGGGGCTCTAAGCATAGTGCATAAGTCCTGGAAAAGATTTTTTGGGGACGAGGGAAAACAAAGCATCCCAATTGAATGGGGAAAAAAAAAAAAAAGGAAAAACCCAAACGAAAAAAAGAAAACCCAACCCCACTTAGAGGCTTCAGGCACCACGAAGACCACTTATTGCATCTCTTCCTAGCCTAGGGCTGCAGTACTGATGAGCTCTGTGCAGGGCCAGTCCTCCCCTTCCCCAGCACC